CTGAGGCTGAGGTGCTGTTTTCTTCTTATTTGTAATCAAGCAAGGCCTGAATGTTGGGAGTGGACTGTAGTTTTATATGGCAGAAATTAGAAAGCATATTAAGATATCAGACTTTCCTATAGAAGAAAAATAGGTGAACAATGCATCTGAGGAAAATTACTGGAAACTGGAGAAGAAAATCATTATTTACAGTAATGGGATGATTTTTTTTTTTTAAATAAACACAAGTGCTCAAGATCCTGCTCAAGATGATCAAAATCCTTAGCAGTGTACCACAGCTTTAACCCCTATAGGGCCCCCATAACATTCTTATTCCTGGGTAATCTTTGGTCATGCATATCTAGTGAGGAGGCTTGTTCCAGCTATAGAGGGTCAAAGCCGTCTCAAGAGTTGATTGTTCTTTTGTTTACTCTCTGCACAAACGGCTCACACTCAGAGAAAGATTTGTTAAATGAAATTGCATCATATTAACGTGCACGCATAGAAACTGTAGGAGACGATGGTTATTGGATTATTTCCACCTTGGGTTTTTTTTTTTTAGGATCAAAGAACAGAAAGAAAAGGAAAAGTAGGAGATTTTGAATTTATGGGAAGTTTTTTTCTGCACTGTCGGCATAAACCTCTGAACTCTGGCATGTCCCACTTCAACAGCCAACACAAAGTTTATGCATTGCATCCTACACAAGTGGATAAAGGTCAACATTAAAAGATCTAATAAAACATTCTTTCTTTATTGATCCTTAAAACATATTTAGCCCATTGATCAACCAATCCCCACCTGCAGGGGCTAAACCATAACAATATCATGGCTTTCCCTGTTAAAGACGTTGTCTGGATGGAAGCATATGAACTATATATAAACTGAGTCAGATGGTCCGTTTCCTCTCCAGTCCAGAAAAGCATGTGTCCACGTCTTCCAAAACTGACTTCAAATTGTGAACTCTGTAATTCTGACTACCGAACTCTTTTACACGTTCTCTGAATCCATCATAAACTAACTTTGGCCCAGAGAAGACGGCAGTGTCATGCTTTCTAGGTTTTTCCCAGTAGTCCCAGCTTCTGTGGTCTTGAATCGTTTTTGTTTAAGTTCTTTTATCTCATTGCTTTTTTCCCAGTGTTTCCTAGTTTAGTTATTCATGATTCTAGTTCTTAATCTCTTGACTTAATTAGTTCCCTCTTGTGTCCTGTTCATTTTAGTCCAGTGTCTGTGTGGGTCCTTCCTAGCGTCCCCTGTTGTAGTCTGTCATGGCCCAGTGTTTGTTTACCTTTTGTCTGTGTCAAGTTCATGAGTGTTAGTGTCCGACTGTGTTTATGCTTCCTGTTTTACTTTGATGGTCTCTCGCCTCATGCATTATGTTCTGTTTGTGTACCTTGCCTCATTAGTTAGATTCAGTTCTGCTGCGTGTCTCCACTTCTCCTGATCACCTTCTTATTGTCTTATTGTCAGCGTCTCCCTTTGTTCATTATTAGAACGTCAGACATCTTCAGTATTCCTGTTTCGTAGTGTAGGTTTCTGTTAATCAAAGATTTTCACTTCCCGTTTGGATTTTACTCTTCAGCCTAAATAAACTGCTCACCCTCCTGATATTCTGAGTTTGGGTCTTCCTCTTCACGACATGTTTTTCAAACACTGTATTTCTGGAGCATGTTCACACATGGTTTCTACTTTATATGAAAGAGCTTTAACTTACATTGAACTGGATTCTCAAACAGTGATTTCTTTAAGTGTTCCTGAGCCCATGCATTGATTTCCATGACAGATTCATGCTTGTTTTTAATGTTTTGCCACTCGAGGGCCTAAAGATCTCAGGCATGCATTACTGATTTTTCATCTTGTGCCTTTGCACACAGATTTCTCCAGATTCTCAGGATGTTTTGATAATATACACTGTAGATGATGAGGTCTTTAAAGGTTTCACAATCTTATGCTGAGGAACATATTTCTGAAATTGTTCTACTATTTATAAAGATGTAGTGTTTTCAGATTAATCAATCTTTGCCTCTCTATGATGCCCCTTTTAAACCATCATGTTACTAATCTGTTTCCAATTAACAGCGTCTATTTTTCTAGTTTTTCATTGCCCCTGTTTCAAATTTTGAAATGTTTTGCTGTCATCAAATTCAAAATCAAAATTTTCTCTGATGAAACAATAAAATGTTTGATATGTTTTGTATATTCTATTGTAAATGCAGGTTTATGCAGTCGTAGGTGTAGAGTGAGTACATGAGAGTTCAGTATCCACCCCTGACGTAACACCAAGCTACCGTCTGCGAAGGCTGCATGACATTACACCGGTCAAACCGCGCTGCTGTCACACCAGTCACATCCGGGATTAACCTTTGGTGATAAGACCCACCATTGTTGTATGGTCCGCAAACTTGACAATGAAATTGGAGATACTAGTGGCCGTGCAGTCGTAGCTGTAGAGTGAGGACAGGAGAGAGCACAGTATACACCCCTGACGCTACACCGACCTGCCGTCTGCGATGGTTGTATGACGTAACAACGCACTGCCCTCTGCGAAGGCTGCATGACGTCACACTGGTCACACCGGTCACACCGCGCTGCTGTCACACCCAAGACACCGCGCTGCCATTACCCCGGTTACACCCGTCACACCGCGCTGCGGTCATACCCGTCACACTGCGCTCCGTGACGTAACACTGTGCTGTCTATGAAGGCGTATGCTATTTGTGTGAACTGACCATGTGTTCACACCGTTCACACCAGTGACCCAGTTCACACCGCGCTGCCGTTACACCCGTCACACCAGTCGCACCTTGATGCCGTCTGCGAAAATT